ATATACTCACACAAACGCATGGCTATCATACATACACATACAGTACACAGACATACATAAACACACACATACTTAAGTTATATGTATTATATTCCCCTAACTCTCACTGGCACCGTTCTCATGAGATTCGAACCCAAGACCCTGAGAAAATAAAGTCGAACACTGGAACTACTCAACCAAAGTAGAAGTCAAATTACCTTCGAAAAATCACGGAAAGGAAGTGGAGAGGAAAGACTGGGAGAGAAATCACTGGATAAAGAACACGAGAAGGAGAAAATTGAAATGAATGAAGCAGGAGGAAGGAGAGCGGGGAGAAGAGCGGGAAGAGACGCGTACACACACACACACACACACACACACACACACACACACACACACACACACACACACACACACCGGATGTAATGGTTAGTTATGGTGGTGGGTAGGGACGCTGAAGAGGAGGTTTACAGAGTCCAATGGGAATTATTGATATCGAGGAAAATGCCAGCCAGCACCGTACATTATCCCAGCCAGGCAACTGTACCTTCCTACTAACACAATAACTACTGGGTTATGTGTACGAGTGTTCGGTTAGTGTGGCGGTCAGGGCCTTGCTATACCACTGCTATATTCCGACCTGTCCTGTGCTATACAAATTATGTGTGTGTATGTGTGTGTGTGTGTGTGTGTGTGTGTGTGTGATCATCGTATCTTTGTATTTTTTTAGATTGTTTAGTTTCTATGTTTTGTGTACGAAGCTACCTTAATTTTTTACTGTGTCATTATACGTTCAGTAACCCAGTACCTTTGTATTCACTCCGAATCTTTCAATTTTACACTACCTATTGGCTGAGCTGTTATTGTAGTCGACGTATAAAGTTCAAGGTCTCCAATTGGGTTCTCGGCAGAGTGGTATATATAGTAACATGACCCAGGTATAAATGGTTAATACCTCGAGCAGAATAGTAAACCGCAGCCGTGAGTAATATGAGTGAGTGTCAAGATATGCGTCATTCACTGGGGGTAATGGCAATCAGTGAAGCCTCTACGAACAGAGCCTGGCGTTTTTCTCAACCCTCAGTAATATGATTTTGGACAGTACGCCAGACGAACGTTCGCTAATTCTCTTCCTTTGTGGCAGGAATATATTTTAAGTGCATATAGAGCAAAAATTCTATCTCTTTTCATTTGCATTTCACAAACTCTGATGAAATTAAGTGAAAATTACCATTATGACTGACAATGTATACCAATAAAAAAACCCAGCGTCACTCTAATGCTCTGTTCATTATTCTGTCTTCACTCAACTAATACTTAAGTTAAAAAAGCTGAATTACCAATTTTAAAAACTTCAGTAACATTAATGGTTCATTTGACGAAGATTTTACATAATGTGGAAATAAAGGACCCAACTGGCGCTCTGTCTGAAGACTCGTGATAAAAAAAAATCTTCCTTTTTCTTTCTCTTCTTTATATAAATATTAATTATCTTTGTCTCTCAGATGATTGTTGTATTGTCTTATGAGATTTATAAAGCACTGAATATTTAAATGATAATAAATAATATAGATAAACAAACAATATCATACAAAATATCAGATAACCAATGTAGTCAGACGGTGGTGGTGAACAGCTGAAACACACCAATAAAAAAAAAAGATCCTATTGACTTAATCACAGTACGAGTAATTACCACTACAGTATATAATGTATTCTAGGTGACTTTTTCCTCTTGATAATAAACACAATAGATGGTTCCACAGGTCCATGAGCTGGACTGAACAACATAACATTATCGCCGAGTCGTGTTGACAATACCAGCGAATGTCATTTATTTTACGGGAGTTTGTTTGTCTGGTAGAGTGGATATTATGTGTTGATGTTGGCTCTTGGTTTATTGGTAACTGTGTGGTTGTGGTTGTCCGTGATTGTGGTTATGTGTGGTTGTGGTTGTCCGTGATTGTGGTTATGTGTGGTTGTGGTTGTCCGTGATTGTGGTTATGTGTGGTTGTGGTTGTCCGTGATTGTGGTTATGTGTGGTTGTGGTTGTCCGTGATTGTGGTTATGTGTGGTTGTGGTTACGTGTGGTTGCGGTTATTTGTGATTGTGATGGTGTTGGTGTCTGTGAACCAACAATCATCTTGTAGTGTTATGTGAAATTCTTGTAGCTTCCTGAGTCAATTACATAACATTGAATCTTCTTCAACATTTCTCCTATACAAATACTAAAACTTGTTATGGTAAGGTTTTGTATAATAATTATGAGTTATATAATATTTCTCTGGACATTTTGTTGTGTGGACGAGGTTGTGGGGAAGTTTGACGCTTACCTTACACAAAATGTTTAAGTCACAGGCCTGGTTGTTGTGTTGTTAGAGTCAGTAACAAGACAAGAGGTAGTAATGGAGGACTGATGTTGTGTTGCCTTCCTCTTGCTGAGACGAGGAACAATAAACATGCTGTTCCCACAAGTTCAGATGAAGAATTCCCTAGATTAAGGCTGAAAATTCCCTAGATTGGATCAAAATTCCCAAAATACATTTTCCACACACACACACAAATATATATATACATATACTTAAAATTTAAGTTTTATTGTGGTTTTTAATATTTTTGTGGTTTTATTGTTTTATCATTATTATTTAATATTTGGTTAATATATTTGTGGCAGAAACAAAATAAAATTATTGTTTTGGTTTTTCTGACAAGAGTAAACACTCCACTAACATTTCGAGTATTTACCGGTACTTAATCTAAGGTATAGAATCCATCAAGACATAAATGTTTACCAAATTAATTACTTAATTAAAAAAAAGTGATTTTGATTCCAACACTTTGTTTAGAGTTTATGATATTTTATGAGATATGACTGGAGTATATCAACAATGATTTGATGAGCTTCTGAATCGGAAGCATTGCTCTTGACATTTCGCACAAACTTCAGCAGTTTTGGATGATTGTACAAATTCAGTTGATCAGCAGGTATCCCAAGTGATGCCAATCCTTCCTTTCCATGTAGTAGCCCCACAATACTTTCGCTCTTCAAGTTTTCAGGAAAATGTTGACTCAGAGACCTGGTATTGGTATTATATAAACCACACTCAAATTCCCTAATTTTTCCCCAAAATATTCAAAATTCCCCGGAAATTCCCCAAAAAGCCCATTTCCCTAGATTTGTCCCCAGATGTGTCCAGATTTCCCAATCTGGGGACAAATTCCCCAGATGTGGGAACACTGGTATCTGGGCTGGCAAGTTCACTGCATGGGATAATAACATTCCCTGTCCGTGGTGCCTAGGAAAGTCCGTACACCTCCCTATGATGCCTAGGATAGTAAATTCACTTACCCATGATACTGAAATGGTACACCACCTACTTTAAGGATCCTAATCACCTCACATCTCTTCACTTGACGAGTCCTATTGTATTGTCTGATGAGTTTAGGAGTTTTCATCTCAGCTGCTTTACTGTTTGTGGTAATCTACATAATAAAGTGGTCCATCAGCCTCTGCCCCGCGTCTTGACTATCTCCCATGTCCCTCATTCATTGTCAGTCTTCGTTCTCCTTCCTTTTCATTCTCCTTATCTCTTTCCTTCTTCACTTTACAGTACTTCCTCTTTCATCATTTTAGTCTCTCACTTTATTCAACGTTTCGTGATTCCTACCCCGTGTTTATTCTCTCCGTTCTCTCTCTCTTGTTATCTCTCCCTTACTCTAGTTTCCTCCAACGACGCCTTCTCCTCTCGTCTCATTTCCTTTCCATCGCCTTTATCTATTCTCCTACTGTTAAATTCTCCCTCCATTCTCCCTATAATTTTCTCTCTATTGTTCTTCGTCTCTCTCCTACCTCAGTATCCCTACCCACGTCACCCCCTCACGTCACCCTCACATACCGTGGGTCGAAAAACACATCGGCCACCTCCCCTTCTCTCTCTCTCTACACTAGACCAAATTTAATCTAATATAAAATCAATATAATATATCCACTGACCTTAGCAAAATATAGTCTCCTGTACTGAGGGTGTGTTAGGGCTCTTCAGGGTAGTTCTGGTTTACTCTACAGACCGCAAGAGGCAGTCAGGTCCCTCACTCAGGCGGATTGCACGGTCAACTAGGGAGTACTTAAAGGAGCCAGGCTCTTGCTTTAGCTGAGTTGAAGTTTTTCCCCAAAACCTTTCCTTTCTACGCAGATCTGTAATAAATTCAGTGTTATTTATAATTACTTAAGGATTGACATCTAATAAAGTCAGAAATTTAGTGTACATATATAATAGCCTTGACTTGAAGCTTAGTAATTCCTTATAACATCACAAGGACAACACAGCTTCTCTGAGGAAACCCCCAACTTAACACCCAAGAGTTTACAGGATAACTTACAGTCTACTAAAGTTGGTGGGAGGTCTCACTTGTAGGACGTCCGCCGAGTTGAGGATCCTAATAGCCACGCAGGCCACCCTCATCTATACTATTACCATATATAATAGGTCCCCCTCATCTATACTATTACCATATATAATAGGTCACACTCAAGGATACTTATTACCTTATAAAATAATAGGGCACATCATCTATACTAATGCCGTTATAGGACACCATCATCTATTGCCGTTTGAAACAGGTCACGGTAAATTTGTAGTTTTGACCAACCACGGCACTTGAGTTGAGCAATGTGTTTTTCCGATAGTTTAGACACTTTTAAGATGCTTTTCGGTAATTATACAGGACTAACCCGTGAGCGAAATTGATTAAAAACAATTATAAAAACGCCGGATTTTCACTCTTATATTATAGTAGACAATGCTGTAGTTTGTGGAAATATGTGCAAATATGTGCTCACTACTTCGTCTTCTCGGTGGTAATGCGGCGGTTTTATGGTTGGGTTGGGTTATTAAAAACAAATTGCACAAACTACGACAGGTTGGGTTAGGTTGGGTTGGGTTAAAGAAAACATTTGCACAAACTACAACAGTGTCCCCTATAGTACACAGTGAAATTGCAACATTTCAAAATCGTTTACTATGCTAAATCGCCGGCGGGTCAGTCGTCAATAATTACCTACAAATTTGTGAAATATTACCTTGTCTACGAACTGGGCAATTTGTATGAAAGGGTAAAGAAAATTCACATAAACGCTTCAATTTCACATTTACAAGAAATTATAAAGATTCCGAAAAGGTCGACCGCGGAAACTTCTAGCAAAAATAGGTTTTTCTAGTGTATTTTGTTGTGTTTCAAGTGAGCCTGACCTTCATTTCCGTCGTAAATGAGGGAGTTATGGAGATATGACCCCCCCCCCCATTACCAACAATATTAGTTGCACAAAGTGGGCAAGGCTTTGAAGTAGAGGGAAATTGTGGGGGGCAAAAAAAATGCAAAAAACTGACCACACGATTCCTTCTAACCAGAGAAACCAGAAGGACCTGACCTAACCTCCTAACCCCCTGGACAGACACTCCATATGGGAACAATTATTCCACTTTTTGTGCCTATCTTTTAAGCACCTTCTTCTGTATAATGTGCCTTTTGGTGGGTTTCTTGGTAGGTGTTATTTATTGCACACTACACAAACGGAAGACCATAACTCCACCGGGCGCATTTATTATCGCGCCATCACCCAGTCCTCAGTTTTGGCCGTCAGGTGCACCTCTCACTACACCGAGGTTGATAGCTAATTTGGGTAAACGCTAAATCGCTCATTTCGGACTAGCTGTGTGTACTTCCTCGAACCACCCACCCCCCCAACCCCGCCTACGACTCATATGTAGGGAGCCAGACCAGCACACTAAAATGTTTAAATTCATATTAATACAAGTGACACAATCTTTTAGTAAACACAGGGCGTAAAACAGTTCCATACATTCCCCGCCGCTGGGAGAGATTTGGTTGGTGGTGTACGATAACATGCCACTTGGGTCGCATCTCCTTTTGACAATATATTACAATATTTGTTTGTTGTGTCTCATGTATAAGGGAATTTTATTGCACCTTCCAATTGAAAAATAATCGCCTTTATATTTGCTACATCATATTACAGTACTTTTTTGTAATACAGATTCACGCATAAACATGTTATTGATATGCATGTAAAATATTTTGAAATTTCTGTTGCCATAATGATCAAGTGAATGTTATAAAATTCGTATTTGTGTTAATTATATCAATCAACATTTTTGTGTCTATCTTCAACTGTTTGTGTATTTTTCTTATTTTTATTTTTATTTTCATTCATCAGTTTTATATAACACCTTTTTCCCATAATCAGTACAGTACTTACATCAAGAATAATAATAATAATAAACACTTTCTCTCTGTACAAGAAATTTAGAGTTAAACTTTCATAAAATAGAAGTATGAAATATAATATTTTCATTAATAGAAGATAAATCTCTCTCTCTCTCTCTCTCTCTCTCTCTCTCTCTTTCTCTCTCTCTCTCTCTCTCTTTCCTAAGTACCAGTACCATTTAATCCCTGTCCAGCTTCAGTGTCTCTCTTACTGTCTCTCTCCCTCCCTCTCTCTCACTATCTCTCTTACTGTATCTCCCCCCCTCCCTCTCTCTCTCTCTCCATTAGTCAGGCTTTAGAAATAGCTACACGAAAACACTCTCCCTTAACCTATACTAAACCCTACACGAGGCACTGTTCGCGGAGGATCAGTTCTCAAGCGACACCCAACCAACTTGATGGGCTTGAATCTTGTCCGGTCATTATACTAAGTAGACGGTTGGGAAGCCTCGATGAGTTACTGTGAGTTACCGCCTCCCATTACGCCGCGTGAAGAACGTTTGACAAGATCTGAAACGTTTCCTTCTACACAAAAAAAAAATTAAATAAATATATAATTGATTTGTTTAATTTATTTTTTTATTATAATTTTTCTTATGTCTGAGCTTAAGTAGAGTTTTGTTCAGATAAAGATTTACAGTATATGTGTAGTGTGATCTGTGATGACTTGTGATGACTTATGGTGTAGTGACGTAGGGTTTTAGTGTCATCTGTGATGACTTGTGATGACTTATGGTGTAGTGATGTAGGGTTTTAATGTGATCTGTGATGACTTGTGATGACTTATGGTGTAGTGACGTATGGTTTAGTGACCTGTGATGACTTAAGGTATAGTGAGGTATGGTATAGTGACCTGTGATGACTTAAGGTAAAGTGACGTATAGTTTAGTGACCTGTGATGACTTAAGGTATAGTGAGGTATGGTATAGTGACCTGTGATGACTTAAGGTAAAGTGACGCATAGTTTAGTGACCTGTGATGACTTAAGGTATAGTGATGTATGGTATAGTGACCTGTGATGACTTAAGGTATAGTGAGGTATGGTATAGTGACCTGTAATGACTTAAGGTATAGTGATGTATGGTATAGTGACCTGTGATGACTTAAGGTATAGTGACGTATGGTATAGTGACCTGTGATGACTTAAGGTATAGTGATGTATGGTATAGTGACCTGTGATGGGGACAGGTCTGGCTGGCCAGTGTTTCAGGTTCCCCGTGGCGATGTGACCTGATAGAGAACCTTTACACAGGTATTGAATGCACGACCTACTGGCTGAATGGTGGGTCTTGGTGGTGAGTTAGGGTGGTGGGTTAAGGTGGTGGGTTAGGGTGAAGGGTTAGGGTGGTTGGTTAGGGTATGGGTTAGGAGGGTGGGGTTAGGGCAGGGGTTAGGTGTGGGGTTAGGTGGCTGGTTAGAGGGTGGGGTTAGGGGGTTAGGGGTGGGAAGGGGTGGGGTTAGGTGAAGGGTTAGTGGTTGGTTAGAGTGGTGGGGTTAGAGGGTGGGTTTTGGGGATGGGTTAGGTGAAGGGTTAGGGTGGTTGGTTAGAGGGTGGGGTTAGGTGGTGGGAAGGGGGTGGTAAGGGGTGGTGGGGCAGGGGTGGCTGGTTAGGAGTGGTGGGGTTAGGGCGGTGGGGTTAGGTAGTGGGTTAGGTGGCTGGTTAGGGAGGGTGGGTTAGGGGGTTAGTGGTGGGTTAGGGGTGGGGTTAGGTAGGGGTTAGGTGGCTGGTTAGAGTGGTGGGTTAGGTGGATTAGGGTGGGTTAGGTGGTGGGTTAGGGTGAAGGGTTAGGTGGTGGGTTTAGGGTGGTGGGTTTTAGGGGTAGGGCTTAGAGTGGTGTTAGGGGTGGTGGGTTTTAGAGTGGTGGGTTAGGGTGGTGGGTTAGGGTGGTGGGTTAGGGTGGTTGGTTAGGGTGGTTGGTTAGGGTGGTGGGTTAGGGTGGTTGGTTAGGGTGGTGGGTTAGGGTGGTGGGTTTCTAAGTATCAAATTCATTTCATCAATGTATGTTCTTGTTGTTACAGACGCTGCCTCTCCCCAACGGGCCAGTCAACAAAAGAACTCCTGACAGCGGAATATTCGGCACGGCTTCCCGGGTGTCTACTGACGGAGGCAACATCGCCAAGAGCCTTGGTGGGAGTCTCAAGCGAGTGTGTAGCCTTAGGGGAAAGTCAAGAGCAGGAGGAGTAGAAGAAGGAGGCGAAGAAGAAAGTACCGCAGGGGACGCAACAGGAGGAGGTAGTGGGAGAGGTAGAGAAGGTCGAGGAAGCTTCAGAGACACGACAACGTCCACCAGCTACCGGCGAGGAGGGGCGGCGGCGGTAGTGACCACGACGGGGCCTCCACCTCGCTACCAGATCTCAGAGTACACCTTCGAGAGAGAACAACCTGACTCACCCTTTTCTGACGAGAAGGACAACGAAGACAAGAAGAAAGGTGTGTTGATGTTATAATACTGTGCCTCTTGTGTTGTGTTGTGTTGTGGTCAGGGAGGAGGACAACGAAGACAAGAAGAAAGGTGTGTGTTGATGTTATAATACTGTGCCTCTTGTGTTGTGTTGTGTTGTGGTCAGGGAGGAGGACAACGAAGACAAGAAGAAAGGTGTGTGTTGATGTTATAATACTGTGCCTCTTGTGTTGTGTTGTGTTGTGTTGTGGTCAGGGAGGAGGACAACGAAGACAAGAAGAAAGGTGAGTGTTGATGTTATAATACTGTGCCTCTTGTGTTGTGTTGTGGTCAGGGAGGAGGACAACGAAGACAAGAAGAAAGGTGAGTGTTGATGTTATAATACTGTGCCTCTTGTGTTGTGTTGTGTGTGGTCAGGGAGGTAAGGGAACAACCCGTCTTTGTTTATATATTATAATCGCTTAAATCTGTCAAGGGAAACTTATTTCATTTTATAATATTGTTTGTTTTGAAGTAAATGACTTAATAGGAGCACAAATAAAGTTTAGTAAATTATCTTTTTCTTGCTGGCTAAACCATGATGGGGCATAACTGAGATAAACAAAAAAGACCCATAAGCCGTCTATTGAATGGCACTTGGCGAAATCCTCCAGCAGACTCCACGAGGCTTGATGTATAACGTTCGGAGGGTTGAAGGCAGCTCCTCTAAACACTTAAATTGATTATTGACCCTTGCAACGTTAACCTTTGATCATAAATCAAAGCATTGCCAGGAATAATTCTCAGAAATGGAATCGATAGAGTTGAAGGTGACAGTACGAGGCTACCAGCTGTTAGAGAGTTTATAAACAAATATAATGTAAGTTCAAGAATTCCTTTCCTGGGTAAATTACTTGGCATCTTAAGCTTCGGGTTGACTGGGCATAGTTTAAGCTTCAAATTGGCTCGTAGATGGATAGCTTAAGCTTCAAGCTGACTGATGGACAGATAATTTAAGCTTCGAGTTGACTGATAGACGAATAACTTTATTGATAGACGGGTAATTTAAGCTTCCATTTGACTGATGGCCGGATAATTTAAGTATTCTTGCTTGTGTTTACAGGCTGGGAGAGATAGTTTACCTTTATGTTTACAGGCTGGGAGAGATAGTTTACCTTTGTGTTTACAGGCTGGGAGAGATAGTTTACCTTTGTGTTTACAGGCTGGGAGAGATAGTTTACCTTTATGTTTACAGGCTGGGAGAGGTACACGTGGCGCCACTGGTGTGTGTTGGCGGCACTGCTGCTGCTCAGTGGGGGGGTGGTGCTGGCCGTGGCTCTCCCCCTCGCTGCCAGGAGTGACTCTCTCCCTCACCCTCACAACGCCCTCGCCCGTGTCCACCGCATCCTCAGTACCGTCCCTCTCATTGATGGGTAAGTGGACCACCTCTACCTGCCTCCTTCCTTCTCTAAGTGGACGACCTCTCCTACCTGTTTCTCTAAGTGGGCGACCTCTCCTGTTCTCAAAGTGGACATTCCCACACCTACCTGTTTCTCCTAAGTGGACAGCCTCCTACCTGTTTCTCTATGTGGGACAACCTCTCCTACCTGTTTTCTCTAAGTGGACGACCACCTCTCCTACCTGTTTCTCTGTGGACGACCTCTCTACCTGTTTCTCCTAAGTGCGACCTCTCCTACCTGTTTCTCTGTGTGGGACAGGCCTCTCCCTCCTGTTTCTCGTGGACGACCTCTCCCTACCTGTTTCTCTAAGTGGACGACCTCTCTACCTGCTTCTCTAAGTGCACGGCCTCACCTGTTTCTCTAAGTGGACAGCCACACCTACCTGTTTCTCTCAAGGTGGGACAGGCCTCACCTGTTTCTCTGTAGTGAGCGACCTCCCTACCTGTTTCTCTATGTGGACGGCCTCTCCTGCCTGTTTTCTCCTAAGTGCACGACCTCACCTACCTGTTTCCTCTAAGTGGACGACCTCCACCTACCTGTTTCTCTAAGTGCGTACTCTCCTACCTGTTTCTCTATGTGGACGACCTCTCCTACCTGTTTCTCTAAGTGGACGACTCCTGTTTCTCTAGAAGTGCGACCTCACCTACCTGTTTCTCTAAGTAGGGGCCTCTCTCCTGTTTCTGCCTGAAGTGGACGACCTCCACCTACCTCTGTTTCTCTAAGTGGACGACCTCTCCTACCTGTTTCTCTAAGTGGACGACCTCTCCCTGTTTCTCCTAAGTGGACGACCTCCTACCTGTTTCTCCTAAGTGGACGACTCACCTACCTGTTTCTCTAAGTGGACGACCTCTCCTACCTGTTTCTCTAAGTGGGCGACCTCTCCTACCTGTTTCTCCAAGTGCACGACCTCTCCTACCTGTTTCTCAAAGTGAACCACCTATCCCTATGTAATGATTGTTTATCAGACCACAGCTTACAGCCTAGAGGATTACAACATATATAACAGTAAGTAGATGCGATTTTAGCTTAGTACACAATACTAGTCATCAAGAACTATAGAAATAATCAGAGTTACTAGAGACATGAGGAAGACTCGTGGGGTTCACACCTGACCTGGGCTGATGGTGGCTGACAAGATTCACTTAAACTACTGTAACTCATGGTGTGGCGAGGAGCTGGTGGTGTAGATGCTGCCTCGTGGTGTGGTGTGGTGGTGTGGTTTGGGAGAGAGAGAGAGAGAGAGAGAGAGAGAGAGAGAGAGAGAGAGAGATATCTTCCTTTCTTTCTCTATCTTTTCCTCCTCCACCCAAAAACTCCTATCCGACAATCCCCCTCAGCCTCCTCCACACCTCCACACTCCTCCACATCCCTTCCTGCCCCCCCCCCCTCCCTCTGGTCAGCAAAACGAGGGAAGTAGTTGTGCCAATACGAGATAATTACACACTCATTCTCTTGTTTACATCCTGGGTGTGTTTTTGCTCACTGGCTGACTGGCTCTGTCTTTTTCAGGAGTTCGGGGGTTCGAGAATTTGGCGTGACTGTGATTTATCGACTCCGAATAAACAGTAAAAATCTCTCTCTCTCTCTCTCTCTCTCTCTCTCTCTCTCTCTCTCTCTATGTATCAGAGCGAGGCAGCGAGTGGGAAGGGAGGGGGGGGGGTTACGTCAGAGTGGTATGAGAAGGTTAATTTCGTCTATTCCTGTACCATGAGGGTCAGCAGAGAAGGTCACGGGGTCACTCTTACTCTACTAAAGGGAACAAATAAGGTCACGGGTCACGAGGGGTTTTATCTATATATTTCTGTACCACGGAGGTCAATGAAGGTCAGAGGAAAGGTCAGGGGTCAAGGGGGTATTAGTAACATTTATTTCTGTCCCACGGATGTCAAATAAGATCAGGTGAAAGGTCAGGTGTCAAGGGGGTATTAATTACATTTATTTCTGTCCCACGGAGGTCAAATAAGGTCAGGTGAAAGGTCAGGTCAGTTGTGTTTCATGTTAATACAAAACGTACTACTGAGTGGCCTCGTGGGATACATACCTATAAAATTAATGTGTTGGATGATACATACATACTTAAAATATCCAGGTGTTTTAGGATACATAATAATATACATATTCTTGTGTCCTTTTAATGGATAATTATATTGTTATTTTTTGTCTACGTCACCTAACATAACATAACATAACCTAACCTAACCTAACCTAACCTAACCTAACCTAACCTAACTTAACCTAACCTAACTTAACCTCTTTCCTCTACATCAAGTAAACAAAATAAACAAGCTAAATTTGTATAAGTAACACCAAACTAATATCTAACGTTACTTCTACCTCACGAACAGTTCAAGATAACATCAACTTTAACTCGTATCTAAAAAAAAAAAGTAACTTGATTTTAAACTTATAAAAAAAGGAACAACTAAACAAACTTTTAAATAACCAAAAAATGAAAACAAAAATAATACAAAAATATAACTGTACTTTCACTTCAAGTAAACACAGGTATAGTATTTTTACACACCCCACGACGCTCAGCTCTCTCTCTCGTCACTAACAAGAGGGATCATCAGCACCATCCTTCCCTCGTGTCACAGGCAGCTCTCCCTCACGTCCCCTACCTCTCACAAATTACTTTAAGCCCGCCCTAGGGTCCCCTTCCCTCCTCCCTCTAAACAACAACAAACAAAAAACATTTTATAATCTTTAGGGAAATGTTATACAGTGAGACCTTTATTTAACGGACTATATGAGAGAGTAGTTTGTTATATCGGGGTCCATTAGATGAGAGACCTCTTTTAACACACTGTATGGGAGAGTACCGTCCGTTATATCAAGGTATACATTGAAACCTCCCTATAACGGACTATTGCCGTTATATTGGTGTCCGTTAAATGGAGGTTATTTCTGGTGTTGTCTCCCTCAGACACAACGACCTGGCCTGGAACATCCGTAACTTCGTGCACAACAAGTTGGAGAAGGTGGACATGTCCCAGAACCTGAGTAGGGTGGAGCCTTGGGGCAGCTCCCCCTGGTCCCACACCGACCTGGCCAGACTGAGGCAAGGCAGAGTCGGGGCGCAGGTGAGTTGTGTCAGGTGGCCTCCCTAGCTGTGTCAGGTGGCCTCCCTAGCTGTGTCAGGTGGCCTCCCCAGCTGTGTCAGGTGGCCTCCCTAGCTGTGTCAGGCGTTGCTAGGTGTGTCAGGTGTCAAGAGAACTTTACCAGGTATGTTAAGAGTTAAAGGGACGTTGTTTGATGTACACAAATGTTGTTGATCTTGTAGGTAACATTTTACCTGCTCTCTCTCACACCTGTGTCATATTACACAGCTTTTCAGGTTAATTAGATTCGACACCTGACCATGTCTCTATACCAGTGTTTCATCCTGCACCATCTAACTCCTTATATCTTCATGCTCAAACACAACACTGAATTAACGTGACATTTTCGTTTCATTATTTACAATTCTCTTTATCTCTCCCTCTGGCGCAGTTCTGGGCGGCGTATGTCCCGTGTAAGGCGCAGTATCTCAACGCGGCGCAGGTGACGTTAGAACAGATCGACGTCATCAAGCGCATGATAGCTCGTTACCCACAACACCTGGGATACGCTCAGTCCTACGCCAGTAAGTATAGTGTTGTGGTGTGGTCAGGGTGCACCTTAGTTATTGCCTCCCAACCCTCTGATGATAGTAACTTGCATCAGACTATTCCTTGAATATAGTCACTGAGGCTACTGGTGTTGATATATTATTAAAATAGCCTCAGCTGGCGTCATGTGAGGCTCTACCTTACCCCCTTCAATAAATGTCCCTTGAGGCTGTGTTATGATACGTCCATTAAACGTAGTCAATTGATGTCTGGTATACGTCTGTGTTCCCCCATCATAAAGACATCAATATGTAATCAATGACGTGTTACAGTGACGATAATTACCTTAGACATTAGTATTAGTTAACAGGTGTCAATATACTGTATATACCTTGATGAATACACTCATATATACTTTTATATTATGTGTATTGATATGTTCACACAAATGGACCTCAACCATGTGTATATATATATGTGTAGGTCAACCATGTGTGTACATATATGTGTAGGTCAACCATGTGTGTACATATGTGTAGGTGAGCCATGTGTGTGTGTGTGTGGCAGGTTTGATGGAGGTGTACAACTCAGGACGCATCGCCAGTCTGCTGGGGGTTGAGGGTGGCCACCTGATGGGCGCCAGTCTGTCTGTCCTCAGGATGTACTACGACCTGGGCATCCGTTACCTCACCCTCACCCACACCTGCAACACCCCATGGTAACCCACACCTGTAACACTCTCCACCCACACCTGCAATACCCCATGGTAACCCACACCTGTAACACTCTCCACCCACACCTGCAATACCCCATGGTAACCCACACCTGTAACACTCTCCACCAACACCTGCAACACTCCATGGTAACCCACACCTGTAACACTCCACCCACACACATGTAACACACCATGGTAACCCACACCTGTAACACCCCATGGTAACCCACACCTGTAACACTCTCCACCAACACCTGCAACACTCCATGGTAACCCACACCTGTAACACTCTCCACCCCACACCTGCAACACCCTTTGATAACCCACACCTGTAACACTCTCCACCCCACACCTGCAACACCCTTTGATAACCCACACCTGTAACACTCTCCACCCCACACTTGCAACACCCCTTGATAACCCACACCTGTAACACTCTCCACCCCACACCTGCAACACCCCTTGATAACCCACACCTGTAACACTCTACCCTGAACCAGATAGATAAACAGAACAAAACAGATTATCATATTTTTTCACGTAATTTCTCATAACATCAATATACTGCTCTCTCTCTCTCTCCTCATTACCTACACTAAGCCATCATTAAACTCTACAGCAAGACTCACATCATCATCATCATCACATTCCAACAATTGGCGGTAAAGTGAATGAGAAACTTAGAAAAGGATTTTTAGTTCATTTCCTAGTGACGATTTTTGCTCAACTTATTTCATGAACTTTACACGACTAGTTTATCTTGCTATGTTATTGATATCGGTGTTATTCATCTAAAATAATATTGTTCATCATTTATTTATTCATAGTTGTTCCTGGCTGTAGTAGATTTGTCGACTGGTGCAACTTTCTTTGTATATAAAAAAACCTATATCATTGTTTCCCCATTAAGGGTAAGTACAGGGAGCCATACTTAAGTTCCTCGTGTGTCAGAGTACTTTAAATATTTTCTATTGTCCTTTGATTCTGGGTCTAAGTAACATAAAGGTACTCAGGTTTTAATGTGAAGTTGAGGTAAGGAACAAAAGTAGCAAGAGCAGCGTTTGTGTCTTTTTTTATTATGATTATCGTCACAGCAACAAAGAACTCACTGTTTCCCTCAAGTAGGTTGAGTTCATATGGATAGAATAAAACACACAAAGAAATTTCCTCCCACTGTTGATGCTCACCCACTCCCTGTGTTTATAAGAGACTATGCTCGGTACAGGGCCTTTGTGTAAGTAGATTATTCTCGCTACAGGGCCCTTGTGTAAATACATTATTCTCGATATAGGGCCCTTGTATACATACATTATTCTCGATATAGGGCCCTTGTGTACATACATTATTCTCGATATAGGGCCCTTGTGTACATACATTATTCTCGATATAGGGCCTGATTTAGTACAGTCTTTTGTTTACGAGAAGCTTCGCCTACTGAGATATTATGTCTATTTGAGAGCCCCTGTTACACGACCATTATTCCCTCAAACTCTTACTCCAAAACTGTGACGTGAAATATAATTAATTTACTCCATTATATTACTTGTGTTACACGAGAATGTGCTGCACTAAAAGCTTGATGGTCTAAAACAATGTGTATTCTTGGTTGGCATTCCCGGACTACGCTTACTCCTGTTTCTGTTTCTTTGTAGAGAGGATTATGTTTCTCTCGTGGATTGTGTTTCGCATTATTATTGTTCCCGGGATGAGATGGGAGAGAATTTATGCTCGCTCCAGGGATGGAATTATTGCAGGGGTCTCACATAACTATGCTCAGTGCAGGACCTCACGTAACTATGCTCACCATATGGCCTGACAAAACTATGCTTACTACAGGGCCTCACATAACTATGCTCACTACAGAGCCTCACATAACCACGCTCACTGCAGGGCCTCACATACCTAAACTCGCTACAGGGTCTCACATAACTAAGCTCACTACAGGGCCTCACTTAACTAAGCTCACTACAGGGCCTCACATAACTATGCTCACTACAGGGCCTCAGCTAGGATAAGTTTGGACGCAGGTATAGTTAAGGGAAGGAGGCAGTGAGTGTTTTAATTCCACGTCGTTCAAGAGTCCATTACGAACCGCGGTGTGGAGTGCTCCTCTTTAATGAACCATGAACCACAGGTCGTCTGCCTGAGTGAACGACATCATCTCCGCCACGACTAATTCAACCACACACATACACACACACACCTGCCACGACTCCTACAGGATACTCGACCCCTGTTTAAGATCCTTCTTCGTGTGGCAGAGGACGTTCATTCTTCCCCTGTGAACCATGTCGTGACCTGTCACTATGTATCTCATCCAATTTTCTCACACGTTCACTCACACGTTCATACACTCGTTCTCTCATTCGTTTAGTCACTTGTTGACCTTTACGTACACACACACACACACACACGTTCACCCTACCAACACCTGAAACACTCTTCTCACCCACACCTGCAACACCCACACCTGCAACACCCACACCTACACACACACACACACACACACACACGTTCACCCCACCAACACCTGAAACACTCTTCTCACCCACACCTGCAACACCCCACACCTACACACACACACACACACACACGTTCACCCTACCAACACCTGAAACACTCTTCTCACCCACACCTGCAACACCCACACCTGCAACACCCACACCTACACACACCTACTCTCTCACACTTTACACTTCCACTCTTACCAGTTGTTGTGAAATATTGTTAAAAATGTAATAATTATCTGAATTAATCTACTGTTGTTATTATTACTGACACCCTGTTAAGACTAGTTAGCACACACAATGGGTCAGTAACGTGGGTCAGTAGCATGGGTCAGTAACATGGGTCAGTAACATGGGTCAGTAGCATGGGTCAGTGACTTGGGTCAGCAGCATCGGTCAGTAACATGGGTCGGTAACATGGGTCAGTAACATGGATCAGTAACATAGGTCAGTAACATGGGTTAGCAGCATGGGTCAGTAACACAACATACTTGCTGGCAGGGCAGACTCCTCACTCGCTGACTCCCCCAACAACGACGACGAGAACTTCGGCCTCAACGACTTCGGCTCCGTAAGTAAAGTAGCTTCTTCTGATGGGCCTTCTGATGGGGAGATGATGGGGCCTTCTGATGGGGAGATGATGGGGCCTTCTGATGGGGAGATGATGGGACCTTCTGATGGGGCTCTTTAATGGTGCTTTCTGGTTGGAGATGGGGCCTTCTGATGACAGTTGAAGTCTCCTGATGGGTTGATGGGCATCTGATAGAGAAAACCAAACCTTAGTATTAAATAAAATATTATAGAGTCTGCCATCACCGTTGTAGTTATTATTAAAATTATTGTAGATTCATTTTCAATTTTATGAAGTCATATTAAGTTTGTTTTATTTATTTTCAATACATTTAGGGAATTGCTACCATCTTTTCCCACCACCTTACTGTCGTATCTCATTCTCCCTGGTCTTCCATACTCTCCCTGGCGTTTCTCCCTCTCCCTAATCCTCCCTTACATCCCTTGCTATTCTCTTTCACATTCCCTGACCACCCCTATACTCCCTGTTCTCTTCAATTCTTCCTTGCCTCCCTCTTTTTTCCAATTCTCCCTCACTCTCTCTCCCTTCCCTCCCTCCCTCCCTCCCACAACTCTCCCTCACCTCTCCACCACAAGTAACAACAGTGTTTGGTGTGGGGGACAGAAAGTGGTGTTGGAGATGAACCGACTGGGGATGCTGGTAGATCTGTCCCACGTCTCACAGCAGACCATGAGGGACGCCCTGGCTGTGAGTCGCGCCCCTGTCATCTTCTCTCACTCCTCAGCTCAAGCTCTCTGTCACCACTCCCGCAACGTGCCTGACGATATCCTTAAACAAGTGGTAAGTGGTGCCCGACGATATCCTTAAACAAGTGGTAAGTGGTGCCCGACGATATCCTTAAACAAGTGGTAAGTGGTGCCCGACGATATCCTTAGCTGGTAGTAAGTGGTGCCCGACGATATCCTTAAACAAGTGGTAAGTGGTGCCCGATGATATCCTTAAACAAGTGGTAAGTGGTGCCCGACGATATCCTTAAACAAGTGGTAAGTGGTGCCCGACGACATCCTTAAACAAGTGGTAAGTAGCGCTAGAGTATCTTTAATAAGTGGTAAATGGCGTTAGAACATACTTAAAATAATTGTAAACAACCATTTGTTAAACAATTCAGAATCATTAAAACTTGTCATTAATACTTTCTCAACAACGATATAGGTATTTTTCAGTACTTAAGTCACTTTACAGTCACTTAACAGCCACTTAACAGCCACTTAACAACCACTTAACAGCCACTTAACAGCTAGACACACCACATGAGCCTTGTAAGTTACTTAACACTGAGGCCGTCTTGTGTTGCAGCACTTAAATGGTGGGATCGTGATGGTCAGCTTCTACAACTACTTCCTCACCTGCAACGACTCCGCCAGTGTCCACGACGTCGTCCGTAAGTACTCCCATGTTGGTTAGTGTCACTGTAAGTACTAGAGGCCGTCTGTAAGTACTTCTGTGTTGGTAAGTGTCACTGTAAGTACTAGAGGTCGTCTGTAAGTACTTCTGTGTTGGTAAGTGTCACTGTAAGTACTAGAGGCCGTCTGTAAGTACTTCCTTGTTGGTAAGTGTCACTGTAAGTACTAGAGGCCGTCTGTAAGTACTTCCATGTTTTTAAGTCACTTATGGGCATCTAACATTAACCTTACACTAGTCTATCATACCCAGGTCATGTTTTAACCCTTAACCTTAACCTAACTCTTGTGGTTCCTCCTTTAGGTCAAGTATTAACCTCTAACATTAACCTCTAACATTAACCCCTAACCTTAACCTAACTCTTGTGGTTCCTCCTTTAGGTCAAGTATTAACCTCTAACATTAACCTCTAACATTAACCCCTAACCTTAACCTAACTCTTGTGGTTCCTCCTTTAGGTCAAGCATTAACCCCTAACATTAACCTCTAACATTAACACCTAACCTTAACATAACTCTTGTGGTTCCTCCTTTAGGTCAAGCATTAACCCCTAACATTAACCCCTAACATTAACCTCTAACATTAACACCTAACCTTAACATAACTCTTGTGGTTCCTCCTTTAGGTCAAGCATTAACCCCTAACATTAACCCCTAACATTAACCCCTAACATTAACACCTAACCTTAACATAACTCTTGTGGTTCCTCCTGCAGGTCAAGTATTAACCCCTAACATTAACCCCTAACATTAACACCTAACCTTAACCTAACTCTTGTGGTTACTCCTTTAGGTCAAGTATTAACCCCTAACATTAACCCCTAACATTAACCCCTGACATTAACACAACTCTTGTGGTTCCTCCTTTAGGTCAAGCATTAACCCCTAACATTAACACCTAACCTTAACCTAACTCTTGTGGTTCCTCCTGCAGGTCACATTAACCACATCAGGGAGGTGGCGGGGTTGGACCACGTCGGTGTTGGAGGCGACTTTGACGGCATCAACAAGTGAGTCACACCTTCAAGGACGACCTCGAGGGTAGAGACACGTCCTTTTTTAAACCTTTGATAACGATGATAAGAAAAAGTTCGTAGGTAGAAAACTCCTTTACCTCCGACACCCTGGAGGAGGGAACAAAGAGAGATGACAGAAAACAAAGAAATAATGAACAATAACAAACAAATAAAACAAACACTACATCCATAACAAACACAAACGAACATCATCAATAACAACAAACAAAAACATCAACAATAAACAAACAACACACAAAACAACAACAACATGAAATAGAGGGAAGGGGGAGAGGAAGAGGAGGGGTGGGTAGGGGAGGCAAGAGGAGGAAAAGAAGGAGAAAGAAGATGAGGGGGAGGTCAGGGGATGGAAGAGGAGGAGAAGAACAGGAGAGAGAAAGATAAGGAGGCAGAAGAAAATGAGAAGGAAGAGAATGAGAAAGAAGAAGTAGAGGAAGAGAAGAAAATAAGAGAATAGGGACAAATTATAAGAAGGAAAACGAAGAAATAGAATGAAAGGAGATAATGATAAATAGGAAAACGTACAAGAATAAGAACAAGAATACATAATGATAGAAGAGAAAGTAAAAGAAAGAAGAAGAAAGAGAAGAGAAGAAAACAAAACAGTCATGACACTTGGGGCAAAAATATACTCTACACGATTCGCTTTTCAAGACAATACGGGTTTACGAGAAATAGTGGGAGTTGAGACGAGGCGAAATGTCACAAGAAATGGTTTGTAACTCAGAATGGAGGAAGGTGAGAGTTAGTGGTGCGTGAGAGAGAAGAGATAAAGTAGTGTATGGGTGAGAGAGAGAGAGAGACATATGCTTCAGTGACACAGAATGAGAAAGAGTGAGGGAGAGTTGTGGGTGATGCAGAATAGAGAAATTGAAGCTTGTAAGTTAATGGTTTGAAATTATCACAAGGATCAGAGAGAGAGACAGAGAGAGACTTTCATATGCCACTTCATCTTGAAAAAAAAAGTTACACAAGAGTTCAGCAAAAATAAAATGTATTTGTAAAAAAAAATATATATATATTAATATTTTATTCATGTATATTTTTTTTTTGGCAGTGTGAATTATTTTTCCCTCACCTGTATGTAGTCTCCTCACATCTCATTAACAGTATCTTACCTGTCTTTTCCTCCCTCACACAGCAAACACTTCATTATGACAGTATCTCATCCTCCCTTCCTCTTCCTCCTCCCTCACTCACTACTCTTCCCTCCAGCATTTCCTCTTGTCTCTTCTTCCCTTCCTGCCTTCACTACCCTCTCTCTCTCTCTCTCTCTCTCTCTCAGCACCTCACCACTCTCCTTCACCACTCGTCCAGGCCCTCACCACTCGCCCAGGCCCTCACCACTCTCCCAGGCCCTCACTACTCTGCCTCTCCCCCGCAGGACGCCACAGGGTCTGGAGGACGTCAGTAAGTATCCTTTACTCCTGGCTGAGGTGCTAAAGGACCCCCGCTGGTCTGAGGACGACGTCGCCAAGCTCGCCGGCGGCAACTTCCTGAGGGTGCTGCAGCGAGCCGAGGAGGTGAGTCACCCTGAGTCACTGTGAGTCATCCTGAGTTATTGTGAGTCACCCATAAGCCACCCTGAGTCACTAACAACGCCCATCCCCACTAACTACACCCATCACCGCAAACCACACCCACCACCACTGACCACGCCCACCATCTCGCCCACAGGTGAGAGAGGAGCTGAGGTCTACGCCGCCCTACGAGGACCACATACACCCCGACCATCTGGCTGGGCGTCGCTCCTGCTGGTATACGTGACGTAGCCTCCCCTTTAGGTACCCCTCCGCTCTCCTCCTCCTCTCCTTCCTCCTCCTCCTCCCTCACCTACTACACTTCTCTTGGAGGCAGAAGAGAGAAATCCAGGTAGATGATGATGATGGTGTTGTAGGTGATTTACTAGTAGAAGCGTAGTAGTGGTAGTTGTAATGTAAGTGTAGTAGTAGTAGTAGTAGTAGTAGTAGTAGTAGTAGTAGTAGACAGTATTGGTAGTATTAGTATTAGCAGTAGTATTTTAGTAGTAGTTTTTGTATAATTTTAGTAATAAGCGCAGCAGTATATTATGTAGAGGTAATAACAGAAATACTACTTCTACTATTAGCAGTAATATTAATAACTGGAAAGAACAATAAAGGAAGAAAAGATGAGAAACAATAGAAGTGAAGAATCAAGAGAAAATGAAGAAAGTAAAGAAACATTCCAGCAGCTGTGGAAGTGTTGCAGGAGACTTACACACAGACGAGCCAAGCTGGAGAGAGTGACACAAGGTTATGAGGCAGTCGTCGCCAGGCTGTTTGGAGTTATTCTCGAACTGATATTGACACTTTTGACGTCATTCCAGCACTGAGGAAAGTCAGGTCTCTCTGGAACTGAGATTCACGTGTCTGGAAATAATAGTGTTGGTGATGTCACGCTGGAAATGACGTGTTTGTGTGTGATTGTTTTCTGGACCGGGAGATTCTGTCTGGTGTTTTTCTTCAAGGCGGAATCCTGTGAAAGCATTCTAGAACTGCAGATATTGTGTGTGTGTGTTATTTGGTGCTGATTATTGTTGAAGATGTTGGATGGTATTCTGGAGTCGGAAATGTCACCCAGAAAAAAGATCTTGTGAGAAACATTACTAAGGAAGTGAAGATCTTGTGAGAAACATTACTAAGGAAGTGAAGATCTTGTGAGAAACATTACTAAGGAAGTGAAGATCTTGTGAGAAACATTAGTAAGGAAGTGAAGATCTTGTGAGAAACATTAGTAAGGAAGTGAAGATCTTGTGAGAAACATTAGTAAGGAAGTGAAGATCTTGTGAGAAACGTGGTAAGAGTGAAGATATGTGAGAAACATTAATAAGAAGTGAAGATCTTGTGAAAGCATTGGTAAGGAAGTGAAGATCTTGTGAGAAACATTACTAAGGGGTGAATCTTGTGAGAAACGATACTAAAGAGAGTGAAGATCTTGTGAAACATTAGAATGGAGTAAGAAGGCTTAGTAGAGCATTAGTGAGGAGTGGGAGATCTTGAGAAGCATTTGCTGGGAAGTCAGAGATCTTTGTGAGAAACATTACTACAGGTGAAGATCTTGTGAGAAACATTAGTAAGTGAAGATCTTGTGAGAAACATTACTAAGGAAGTGAAGATCTTGTGAGAAACAATAAGGAAGTGAAGATCTTGTGAGAAACATTAGTAAGGAAGTGAAGATCTTGTGAGAAACATTACTAAGGAAGTGAAGATCTTGTGAGAAACATTAGAAAGGAAGTGAAGATCTTGTGAGAAACATTACTAAGGAAGTGAAGATCTTGTGAGAAACATTAGTAAGGAAGTGAAGATCTTGTGAGAAACATTAGTAAGGAAGTGAAGATCTTGTGAGAAACATTAGTAAGGAAGTGAAGATCTTGTGAGAAACATTAGTAAGGAAGTGAAGATCTTGTTAGAAACATTAGTAAGGAAGTGAAGATCTTGTGAGAAACATTAGTAAGGAAGTGAAGATCTTGTGAGAAACATTAGTAAGGAAGTGAAGATCTTGTGAGAAACATTAGTAAGGAAGTGAAGATCATGTGAGAAACATTAGTAAGGAAGTGAAGATCTTGTGAGAAACATTAGTAAGGAAGTGAAGATCTTGTGAGAAACATTAGTAAGGAAGTGAAGATCTTGTGAGAAACATTACTAAGGAAGTGAAGATCTTCTGAGAAACATTAGTAAGGAAGTGAAGATCTTGTGAGAAACATTAGTAAGGAAGTGAAGATCTTATGAGAAACATTAGTAAGGAAGTGAAGATCTTCTGAGAAACATTAGTAAGGAAGTGAAGATCTTGTGAGAAACATTACTAAGTAACTATTGACCTTAAAACACTTCGAAAAAAAAATAACATTCATCCACTGTTTAACCCCCACCAAAAAATTTATATGTATATATAAACCACGAATAATTTAAAATCATATAAACACGATGTATATATCAAGAGGTTAATGCCTGGTTACTGTAGGTGGTGAGGAGGGATAATAAACAGTCCTTCTCCTCCTCCTCCAGGTTTTCAACCCTGGCTCCTCCCTCCTCCAGGTTTTCAAATGTAGCTCCTCCCTCCTCCAGGTTTTCAAATGTAGCTCCTCCCCCCTCCAGGTTTTCAAATGTAGCTCCTCCCTCCTCCAGGTTTTCAAATGTAGCTCCTCCCTCCGCCCCTGACGTCACTGATACATGTAAACAAACAGTGCCTTACCTCATGGTGTCCTGAAGGTGGAAAAGATAACAGAACTCTCAACTCTTATATCCATGGCTATAGTTCGATTTGTATTTTGTGTTGATTATATTACATTATAAACATTGTATTGTTTGTATATTGTTTATTTGCATTAAATATAAAGATTATTTCATGATGTTGTTTCTTTTATTGAGTTAGAGTTTACCTGAGGGCTTGATTACAGGTATAAAGAGGAGACATAGATACAAAAATAAAGCATTAATCTGGAGTAACGACAACAGGTGAGAGGTTGAGGGAGTGACTGAAGGAAAACTGAACAAACGGGTAAGAATAATAAAGAGGAAAAACAGATGACAACAGATGAGAATAACGTAGGAAAAACAGATGACAACAGATGAGAATAACGTAGGAAAAACAAATGACAACAGATGAGAATAACGTAGGAAAAAGAAATGACAACAGATGAGAATAACGTAGGAAAAACAAATGAGAACAGATGAGAATAACGTAGGAAAAACAAATGACAACAGATGAGAATAACATAGGAAAAAAATGACAACAGATGAGAATAACGTAGGAAAAACAATTGACAACAGATGAGAATAACGTAGGAAAAACAAATGACAACAGATGAGAATAACGTAGGAAAAACAATTGACAACAGATGAGAATAACGTAGGAAAAACAAATGACAACAGATAAGAATAACATAGGAAAAAAAATGACAACAGATGAGAATAACGTAGGAAAAACAATTGACAACAGATGAGAATAACGTAGGAAAAACAGATGACAATAGATGAGAATAACGTAGGAAAAACAAATGACAACAGATGAGAATAACGTAAGAAAAACAATTGACAACAGATGAGAATAACGTAGGAAAACAATTGACAACAGATGAGAATAAAGAGGAAAAACAGATGACAACAGATGAGAATAACGTAGGAAAAACAGATGACAACAGATGAGAATAACGTAGGAAAAACAAATGACAACAGATGAGAATAACGTAGGAAAAAGAAATGACAACAGATGAGAATAACGTAGGAAAAACAAATGAGAACAGATGAGAATAACGTAGGAAAAACAAATGACAACAGATGAGAATAACATAGGAAAAAAATGACAACAGATGAGAATAACGTAGGAAAAACAATTGACAACAGATGAGAATAACGTAGGAAAAACAAATGACAACAGATGAGAATAACGTAGGAAAAACAATTGACAACAGATGAGAATAACGTAGGAAAAACAAATGACAACAGATAAGAATAACATAGGAAAAAAAATGACAACAGATGAGAATAACGTAGGAAAAACAATTGACAACAGATGAGAATAACGTAGGAAAAACAGATGACAATAGATGAGAATAACGTAGGAAAAACAAATGACAACAGATGAGAATAACGTAAGAAAAACAATTGACAACAGATGAGAATAACGTAGGAAAACAATTGACAACAGATGAGAATAACGTAGGAAAAACAAATGACAACAGATGAGAATAACGTAGGAAAAACAATTGACAACAGATGAGAATAACGTAGGAAAAACAAATGACAACAGATGAGAATAACGTAGGAAAAACAATTGACAACAGATGAGAATAACGTAGGAAAAACAAATGACAACAGATAAGAATAACATAGGAAAAAAAATGACAACAGATGAGAATAACGTAGGAAAAACAATTGACAACAGATGAGAATAACGTAGGAAAAACAGATGACAATAGATGAGAATAACGTAGGAAAAACAAATGACAACAGATGAGAATAACGTAAGAAAAACAATTGACAACAGATGAGAATAACGTAGGAAAACAATTGACAACAGATGAGAATAACGTAGGAAAAACAAATGACAACAGATGAGAATAACGTAGGAAAAACAATTGACAACAGATGAGAATAACGTAGGAAAAACAAATGACAACAGATGAGAATTATTATAAGAAATGAAGGTGACGTGATAACAGAGACGATAATAATGACTCTAATAACAATACCAAGCGACTTAACGTTTTAAATGTCCTTCACACACACACACACATACACACACACACACACACACACACACACATAGCCACACAAACATAACCACCTCCACCTCCACCTACCAACCAACCTACCTCACCTCCACCTACAGGCAGCAAGGGGGGGGGGGGGTGAGGAAGGGCCCCTTGTATTCTTCTAAGCACCACAAAGACACTTAGTTTCTGGGTGATGGAAGTAAGTGTAGGTCAGAGGCCGCGCCTACTGTACAGGGTTCATCAAGGTGTGCTACCATTCTCAATATCTTACCTCCTCCTTCTTCTCTAACTACTTCTTCTTCATCACCTTCTTCTCTCCCTCTTCTTTACTTCTTCTCCGTCTTCCCCTCTATCAACCTTCACACCTCACCTCCTCCTCCTCCTCCAGAGCTGTAATGTTGGTTGGTAGTAATTATTCTGTTAATGTATTCATAATAACAATAAAACCACCATTAATTTAACAACACATGACTGTAATACATTCCTTTGTGTGTGTGTGTGTGTGTGTGTGTGTGTGTGTGTGTGTGTGTGTGTGTGTCGTTCTCATCCACTACTGAATTTTATGATGGGTCGTAAATATGTTCTTGTCTTTCTTCTAAGAGATGAGATCAAATCCCTGTGTTTACGCTAAGAGACTCCACAGGGCGATTCACATGAGTTAGGTTCCTCTGGTCCCTTGTAAACACCACTCGCTTAAATTTCCCTCTGGTGAGAACTCCATGATTGGTCTGT